AATGCCACAATTCAATTACCTTAAAACAATATTCAGATTCCCACTCTTGGAATAAGCCTGTTTTAATGGGAAATTAGTTGCATATGTGTATGTCCAGACTGAATTATGGGTGCTAACAGATACTGAGCTGTAGGTTAGGTGTTTAGGATCATAAACTCAAATGGATGCATTTCTGAAGAGACAACCAGACTCATTATTTTATAGAATTATTAAAAGAAATTAACATTAACCAGTGTTTTTATTATAATGATTGTCTGGCGCTTTCCGTTTGGTGTTGTTGGGCATTTTGAGGGTGGAAAGTGTTCAAGTTAATTATCCTAATTAAATTACTGTGTAAAGTAGTATTTAAACTAATTAGTGAGCACAAAACCAGCGGCAACATCTGGAATCTCTTGGGAAATAACAGCAGGAAATAAAACACAACAACCACAAAGAGAGGAATATTCCCATACCTGCACACATATAAACACTATTCAGAAAAGGGCTGAAACTGGATTATACAGCAGAGCTGAAACTGAACACAGTCACTGTTTACATATTGATGACATCAAGTGATTATATTCTGGTGGAAGACAGTGATCTTTATGATAATGTGCAGTGAGGCAGATCATAAACAGAGCCAGTCTGTCGCTAAGTTCTGTATTTCACGTGATGTTGATTAGCACAGGAATTAATATCCTGCTGTGAGCTCTGATGGTGTTTTAATGATCGCTGATCTTTCTGTCAGTGGGAGGAGATGAGCGGTTTGGATGAGGAGGGCAACAGCGTCCGCACCTTTCAGATCTGTCCGATGGACACGGCAGTGAGTCACTGGCTGCGCACGCGCTTCATCCCGCGGCGCGGAGCGACTCAGGTGTATGTGGAGATCCGCTTCACCGTGATGGAGTGTTCGGCCATGCCTTCCAGCTTCCGCACCTGCAAAGAGACCTTCAACCTGTACTATTACCAGAGCGACGAGGACATAGCCAGCAGCACACACCCCGCCTGGATGGAGAACCCCTACAGCAAGGTACACACACTCACAGAGACACACACACACACACTCACACAGAGACACACACACATACACACTCACAGAGACACACACACACACATACACACCTACAGAGACACACACACACACACACACTCTCAGAGAAACACACTGACACGCTCTCACACACACACAGAGACACACACACGCACACACACACACACACACACACACCTGAACGACACAGACCTACCTCACGTACACACAGAGACACACACACACTCACAGAGACATACACACACATACACACTCTCACAGAGACACACACACACACTCACACACACACACTCACAGAGACACACACTCACTCACAGAGACACACACACACTCACAGAGACACACTCACACACACACACTCACAGAGACACACACACACACACACACTCTCACACAGACACACACACACACACACACACACACCCACACACAACCACACTCTGTACTCACAGAGACACACACACACACTCTCAGAGACACACACACTCACAGAGACTCACACTCACACACACTGACACAGAGACACTCACACACATGCTCTCTCTCTCACACACACACACAGAGAGACACACACTCTTGATCACTTGCTCACAGAGACACACACACACACTCACAGAGACACACATACACACACACTCTCTCTCACACACACACAGAGACACACACACACATACTCACAGAGACACACACTCACACACACTGACACAGAGACACACACTCACACGCTCTCTCTCACACACACACAGAGACACACACACACACATACACACACTCACAGAGACACACACACTCACAGAGACACACACAGACACACACTCACACACACTGACACAGAGACACACACAGAGACACACACTCACACACACTGACACAGAGACACACACACTCACACACACATACACAGAGACACACACACACACACACTCTCAGAGACACACACACTGACACGCTCTCTCTCACACACACACACACACACACACTCTCACAGAGAGACACACACACTCACACACACACACACACACTCGCAGAGAGAGACTCACCCACTCACACACACACACACACTCGCAGAGAGAGACTCACTCACACACACAC